CCCCACTAACTTTGCACATCTTGTATTCGCCAATACCCAGAATCATCGAACAGTACACTCAACACGGTCACGACCCTTCTGCCTTCCAGGTGACGGTCTTCCACACCATACTGTTATCCAGAGCAGGTAAACTCCCCACAACTGTGGCTCAAGAACCTGAATCCCTCTCTGAATTCGACCATCCCTCACAATCAATCCCCAAACAATAAATTCTTATCCACGAGGACGGGCTGCTTCCGAATGGACCTTACCTGCTAGTGTCTAGGCCAGTGCTGTCTGCTCCTGGGTCGGACGAGTCTCTGCAGAGTCTTGGACTTCGTTCCTGTCCCAACGTCCCGCAGATTCCGCTGGGGTCCGGAGGCGAAACGCTGATGCTTGGGTGCCGTCGCCTCCTCCGGATTTTTGCGATCTGTTTCTTCTGAGCTAGAATGTGTGCCTGGAGGCCAACTGCAGTCCCAGACGAAGGTTTTCAGGTGGGACTTGGGACGTTTCCCCAAGACCCACCTCCGTCCGGTTGGAACGTCTGAAGCCCGGCCTTTCTAGATCCTCCTCTAAGCACCTGGCATTCCTGCTTGGGATCAGGAGCTCAAGGGGTTGGTCCCCGAGATCGCGGTGGGACACCCCAGAAAAACGCGACCGCAAACACTCCAAACTCCGGGGTTGCAAAAAGGGAGCAGAGTTACCTCCCCGGGCGTCATTTCCGAGTCCGCTCTAGAAACCTCGGAGGCCTCCGCGTCTTTGTGGTTTTCGTGCTCAACGTGCCTTTTTGTCTCTCCTCCGTCTTCCCTAATAAATGTGTGGGGAAGGTTCGACTTTGCCGGAGAGATTGTGTAGAAAAATTTATAGTATGATGCATCGGATGTACATGCCTCACACCTTCAAGTGTTATCATCTCATGGTGATCTTATTAATCTATAACCCGCTCCCTCCCTTCATACTGTTTGAAGCAAATCTTAGACAATTGTTATCCACAAATTTAACGTCGCCTGGACTAGGGTGAGGCCAGTGAGGCACTTGCCTCGGGCATAGGATGTAGGGGCTGCCAAAAAAGCTTAGCAATTGAGACAAATAATATTTTAAAGCAACGTTATATACAAAATCAAAAATAGTGTAAAAAAATCTATAATGAACAAAATCAAAATTTTTAATAAAGACACAATCAGTATTACCGATTTTTCCTTTTGTCTCAGGTCCGATATGACTGGTACAACGTTATTATTTAAGTATGTATCTCTAGAGGATAAGGAACCTTATAAAAAATATACTCATGTAACAAGTTGAACAGAAGTGACTCCATTTTGTTAAATTTCTAAATTAAAATAAGTTTTTTTCCCCCTTACTCTTGTAACCTGAATGGCATAGCTTGCAGCTGGACATTAGAATACAATGATTCTTGTTCACGTGATTGCTAGAACATAACGGCTTTTGCTCACACTGTACACAGAATAATTATAGAAGAAATTATTAACCCAGGTGGCCATTCTTTACTAGCTTACTAACTAGATGTTTTTGAGGTTAACAGGAACTGCATCCGTGACTTGACCTCATGGAGGATGGTTACTATGAATCAGCTCCCACCCAAGAAGTTCTTTGATCTGCAATTTTATGATTATGCCTGCACGTCCCTGCTTAGGTTACCATTAATCAGCCCCTACCACCTGTCCTTATAAAACCCTTTCACAAGCCTGGAAAAAGTGGAGATGGTCTTTGAGACATAAGTCCACCATTTCCCCAGTTTGCCAGCTTCCTGGTTAAAGGCTGCCTTTCCTTACACCAACACTTGTCTCTCAATTATTGGCTATTGAGCAGTGAGCAAACAGAACTTTGGGGTTTCAGTAACAATCACAATACCGTTGACACATCTAAAAGTAATAACAAAAACAATATCATGTATCCAGTCACTGTAAAAATTTCTCTGGTTGTTTTATATACATAGTCCATTATATAGAACATATTTTTTTTTTTTGTCTTTTGTCCTTTTTTCCGTGTCCGGCAACGGATCGCAACCCTCA